GCGCGGCCGCGGCGAGGGCGGCGGCGCGGGGCAAGGAAGGCGACCTTGTTGCGCCCACGCGGCCGCAGCCGCCGGTGACCGCGGCGATTCGGCCAAAGGGCAGCGGTGCGTCAAACTCGACTGCGGCGGCGGAGGCGGCGGCAAACGCAACGCGCGTGTCGCAGCTGCCGGTGAGTGAGGCGGCTGCGGCCCAGCCCGCGCCTGAGCCGCTCGATGAGCCCCAGAAGGCCACGGCTGCAGGCGGCGGCGCCTTGGCGGGACCCAACGCCACCACTGCAGGGCAGCAGCAGCAGCAGCAGCAGGGGGCGTCGGGCGAGCAGCAGGGGCAGCAGCAGCAGCAGCAGCAGCAGCGAGGTGGGCAGCTGCCCGCTGGCAGCCCCAGCCCGGCCTCTGCATCCCCACGCACAACGGCGGCCGTCCCTCTGCCCCCGCGGCCGACCGCGGCTGCCGCCAAGGCCGCGGAGGGGCAAGCCCCAAGCGCCAGCGATCTCCAGGCTGCCCCTGACAGCAGAGCTGACACGGCCCTAGGGGCGCAGAAGGGCAGCGGATCATACGGCGGCGTGCTGACCATCGTCGGACTCTCCGTCGCCGGCGGCGCCGCCGCGGCGCTGCTCGTCGCGGGCGCGCTGTGGGTGCGCGCGCGCCGGCGGCCGTCCGCGCAGCGCGCGTGGGGGCGGTCGTACGGCGGCGCGGAGCCCGGCTTTGCACCGCTGGTGCCCGGCGGCGGCGGCGGCGACGGCGAGGGGTTGGCGCGGGATTGCGAGCTCGCGGCGCTCGCCGCGACGATATCGATTGACGCAGAGGACGTCAGCTTGCTGCCAGAGCGGCAGCCTCTCACCCCACCGGGGCGGCCGCCGCGGCGGTGACCCTGATACGGTGCGGCACTGGTTGAGTGGCGTGCGGGGCCGCGGGGCTCGGGGTCGCAGAGGCGGCGTGGCGCGTCATTGACGCGTTGTAGTGCTGCGGTGGTGGGTGTGCTTATGAGCAGTGCGATGCAGGCGCAGTGCAGTGGGGCCGGCCGCCCTTCCCCGCGCTGCAGACGTGTGAGGGCACTCACGCGCGCATGTGGTGACATGGACTTGTTGGGATCTGACCTGGGAGTGGAATTGGCATTCCCGTGATGTCATGTGAGACCATCAGCGGCACGACCACCATGCTCCTTCAAAATGCCTCTTTGATTATTGGTCAGAGGTCCAATTGATATATCTTGGCCCTGATCGCATCTTTTGTCGGATGCTGCTTTGTCTTTCCCCCTTGATTGATCCCTGTGTAATGCATGCAGCCTTTCATGGCCATTACACATGTGACCAAGGAGTTGCGGGCCGCTGCGGACGGTGGGAGGCATGCACGTCAGGTGCGGGGTGGGGCAAGCCTTTCGCGCTACCATGGGTTGTGCTGGGCTCAGCAGCTGTGCGCCTCAGGTGTTGACCGGTCAAACGCGCTGAAACGAGCAGAAAGCCAGGTTCATCACATCTTGAGTTCTTGACGGTCACAGGTATAGAGGATTGACACAAGCAATGGACATCTTCAGATTGTGCCTACACAACAACTAGCCATTGCCGGCGTCTGCGCGTGGTTGATATCATACTGAGCTCAGCACTGGGTGACTGCAGCAGCTCGAGCCGAGTGACCAGCGAGCGCCCCAGCCAGCACACTTCCCTAAACGCGTGGCTCAGCCGTACATGATATCGTGACATACGGATGGTTTATTCTGATCAACCTTACCTACAACGGTGGTCGGCTGCGAGAGGACGCAGTCACCTCGCCGGATCACTCAGATCGATAGGCGCTTGACTTACGTACATAGCAGTATCAAGTCATGACAGTAACACCGGCGCAGCTGCAGGCACTCGCTGACCAGCTGCAAGCGGACTCGAGCAAGCATGCTCAGAATGTAGCCAAGCTGATGAAAGCTTTGCAAGGGGATAATGAGGTATGAACAGCACAAGAAGCGGCGCTTCGCGTCCCGTGACGACTTTACGCCGGCCGCCGTCAACGCCGCCGCCGCTTTGCTGCGGGCTCGCCGCGGCCGCCGCTTGCCAGCCCGCCTGACCCCGCCACATGCAAGCCAACCATCCGCAACCCACCCAACTATACCTTACGCGCAGGCCCTTACGCGCATTGCCATCCAGGCCTTGAAAGTTCACTACATCACAGCCTTTGATGAGGGCGAGCTCGGGCGCAAGCGCCAGCGCGTCACCGCCCCTGAGCAGCAGCAGCAGCAGCAGCAGCAGCAGCAGCAGCAGCAGCAGCAGCAGCAGCAGCAGCAAGACCAGCACGGCGACTACGCCGCCTTCGTCGCCCGCCTGCTGCGCCTGCTCGCCGGCCCCACGCCGCCCGGCCTGCAGGTGTCTGCGCTGGTAGCGCTCATGGAGTGCGCGCGCCACGAGGCCGGCCCCGGCGCGCTGAGCGCGCGGCTCGTCGAGGCCGTGGTAAACGCGGTCGCGCGCGGGGCGGCGCCGTCGCCGGAGGCGCTCTCGCTGCTGTTCTCCCGGTACCTGCCGAACCTAGACGTGCGATACCACGCGCTGCGCGCCGCCGCGCGCTGCGCGCGCCGCATCGCCGGCGGCGCGCGGGGGGCGGCGGCGGAGGATGAGGAGGATGAGGAGCGGGAGGCCGATGCAGCGGCGGGCGGCGGCGGCGGCGGCGGCGGGGCGGCGCCCGCGTTGGCGGCGGCGGCGGATGCGACGCGCGCGCTGTTTGACGTCCTCGCGAACGTGGCGCCCGTGCGGCCGGGGGACGACCTCTCGCAGGCCGCGTCGTGGTGCGGCGCCTCCGAGGTGGGTTGAGAAGATATGCATGCAGAGCGGCGGCGCCGGCTGGGACAGCAGCGACTGCCTCGCGGCGTGGCGGAGTCCAGACAGCTGTGTTTGCGGCGAGTAGTTAACACGGCATGCGCAGCCGAGATGGCCTGCAAGGCCCTCTGGCACCCGCTCTGGCACCCAGCACCCTGCAACAAAAATTGCGCTTGAAACTTTCACAGGCCGGCTTGGTCGTCGCGGCCGCCGATACGTCAGCCTCCTCCAAGGCGCGCCGCAAGCGCAAGGCGCAGCTGGCGGCCGCCGCAAACACGGGCGGCGGTGCGGGCGCGGCGGCTGCGGCTGCTTCCGCGGCGTGGGCCAACCCCAAGGCGCAGCAGCGGGCGTACCAGGAGGCTTGGCTGGCTTTCCTGCGGCTCGACCTGCCGGCGGACATCTACAGAAAGGTGGGGCTGGGATCCCGCCATTTGCCGGCTGTTTGTCAGATGTTTTGACCCCTGGGATATGGAGTATGCGGGGCGCGAACGGATGCAGCCGAGGGGCCCGCTGCATTGCACCCCTGTGCCACGAGCGAGACGACCAGGCGCGCCTGGCGCGCCCATGCGTCGCTTCTTTGCATGGGGAAGCATGCTTGCCGCCATGCTGTTCGCCCCACTCGGGACAAGCGCCCAAGGACCCAAAGGATTTGGCCACCTGTAAATGCGTGTGCTACACCCCGCTCTTACGACCTGGCAGGTGCTGCTGAAGCTTCACTCTGACGTCATTGGGGCCATGACCGACCCCGCCCTGCTGGCAGACTTCCTTACCGCCAGGTCAGCGCCTGAAGGGCCGGGAACGAGCCTGCGCTCTTGGCAACCACCCCCAGGCTACCGTGGTGCTGCACAACACACACACACACACACACACACACACACACACACACACACACACACACACACACACACGCTGGCCAAGTGCACGCACTCAAGCCACATAGATTTCCATGTGCATGCACGGCTCGCCACACGCTCGCTCACCAGCATCTTGCCGCGCACCCGGCGCTTCTCAGCCGACGCCTCTCTTCCTAGGCACGCGGCCCCTTCCTGCCCATACCTCAATCAAGCCCCCCCTCTCCCCACCCCACGCCACGCTACACCCCAGCCTGGACCGTGGCGGCCTTGAGGGCATGCTGGCCCTCAACGGCATCTTCTCACTCGTAACCCGCCACGGCCTGGAGTACCCGGCCTTCTACCGACGCCTCTATGGCCTGCTCACGCCGGAGGCCTTCCTGTCAAAACACAGGTCTGCTTGCACACCTTGCCGCGCCGCGCCGCGCGTCCTGGGCACGGGGTGTTGGGTGCAGGGGAGGGAGGAAGGGGGCGGGCGTTGGGGTGTCAGGGTGACCGGGCCAACCTGCTGCCAACTTGCAGCACGCACAGTACGCAAATCCAGGCGCTCGCGCACTCCTTGCATACGCCATGAGACGCGCCCTGCGCTCCTGCTGCTGCTTCTCGTCCGGCACTTCCCAAAAAACAACGCTCACCTGTGCCCGTGTAACCCCTACTCCTACTCGGCGCGATCCCACAGGGTGCAGTTTTTCAAGCTGGCGGACATCTTCCTGGCCTCGTCCCTCATACCTGCCTACACAGTCGCCGCCTTCGCCAAGCGCTTCGCGCGCCTCGCGCTGCGAGCGCCGCCGGCCGGCGCCATGACCGCCGTCGGGTTCATTCACAACCTCATCCGCCGCCACCCCAGCTGCATGGTGCTGCTGCACCGGCCGGCGGCCGCGGCGGCAAGGGGCGCCGGCGGGCAGCAGCAGCAGCAGCAGCAGCAGCAGCAGCAGCAGCAGCAGCAGCAGCAGCAGCAGCAGCAGCAGGGGTCTGACCCGTACGACGAGGCGGAGGCGGACCCTGCGCTCAGCCGGGCGGTGGAGAGTTCCCTTTGGGAGGTCGAGGCGCTGCGGCGCCACTACTGCCCGCAGGTGCGCCGCACCCCCCCCCTCCCTGCCACGCGCCCCGCCAGCTGGCCCGTGCCCTATGCTCTGGTCCGCCGCCGGCCTGCCAGCAGGCGGGAGCAGGACTGTGGTGACGTCACATGCAGGCGGTAGCTGGCTGCGCACTGAGGTCATGCTATCTTGGCAAATGAAGCTCCCTCACTGCACGCGTGCTTGCACCTGCTCCTCCCCTCTGCTGCTGATGACGCTCCACTCGTGTGCCACTCCCCCGCCCGACACACGAACACACAAGATAGAGCGCACATTTTTACTCACGTGTGCACTCTGACACCCCTCCCACAACAAACACCCTGCAAATCCGTCGCCCGCACCCCACACCCACGAACCATCCCCCTCAATCCAGGTCTCCACGTTTGTGTCAGTCTTGGACAAGGACCTCGGGGACCGCCCCCACACGTCCGAGGTTGATCTGGACCCCCTCCTCTCAGCCTCGTACAGCTCACTGATCTCGTCCGAGGTCGGGCGCCGCCTGAAGGCCGCGCCGGTCGCATTCTATGCGCGCCCCCCCACCCGGCTGTTTGGCGGCGCCCCAGGGGGCGGGGCCGGCGGCGGCGGCGGCAGCAGCGGGGCGGAGGGGGAGGGGCGCGCGTCGGAGGCGGCGGCGCTGCAGGGCGGCAACAGGGCGCTGCTGGGGCCGCTGCCTGGGTGGGACCTGGAGGCTCTACCGGCGGCTGAGGCTAGCAGTTAGTCCTAGGGGCAGGCACGGCCCGTTTTCTCTCAAGCGGGCGTGCGATGCCCTCGCTGCCGCTCGCGCAGCTGCTGAGGCGCTGGGCGGCCGTGGCTCTTGGGTGCAACTCAAACGCAGGGGCCTCTGACGTAACAGCGCCCGCGAATGTAACGTCATCAGGGCTCTGTCTGGAATGCACCGGCGCGTGCAGGGTGTTGCGACGGTTTGACAATGCCATGCCATGCGTTCAAGGGTGGGAAAGGCGTGCTTGGTTGCTCGGCAGCTTCAGAAAAAAGCTGTTGCGTCAGGGTAAGCAGCGCAAGCCCCAGCACAAGCAGGGATAGGACAGGCTCAGCAAAATGAAGAAATGCCCGGCAGGCGCAGGGTGCAGCGCGCGTGAGCAGCGCGAGGCCGGCTGCTATAAATGGGATTCGGAGGTGGGAAGCTGCTTGTTGAGTAAAAGCGTGTGATCAGCAACCAGACACCCATCAATTCTTGGGGCAACAGGTTGCATTGAAGGCCACTCAGCACTCAAGGCAGCACCACAGCCAGCCACATTACAATTGCAGTGGGCTTCTCGTTCAATTCCTGTGACGGAAGGTCAACGAGCATCACAACATCTTAATCTGCCTGGATGCAAGTCGCACCGCAAATATCAGCTCCCCAAACCCCGAGACGCTCCGCCCACGCGTGCCAAAGGCACCCGCCTCCTGTGAGCTGCGGCGTCCTCAGGTCGTTGCATCGCGCCGTCAGATCAAATCACGAGGCAAATCATCACCCCGCTGAGATTACGACCGCCGCCAGGTGGCCCGGCGGCACCTCCAGCTCCACCAGGCCGTCCGGCCCCACCTCCAACACCCTCACCGCCTCGCGGCTCCCGCTGCCCACATCCCCTTGCCGGTCCCCCGCCGCCGCGGCCTCAGCATCCAACCCGGCCGCGTCCAGCAGCGTGGCGGCCGCTTTGAGGCCCCCGCCGCCGCCGCCGCCGCCGGCGGCTTGGGTGCCGAGCAGGGCCCGGGCGTCGGCGCTGAGCGTCAGCGGCGCGGCGGCCTTTGCGGGGTGCACTAGCACGTACCCGGTCCGCCCCTCCCCGAGCCACACCCCCACGCCCCGCCGCGCGAGCGGCGGCGCGCCGAACACGCGCGCGCCGCGGGGCAGCGCGCGGGTCAGCATGCGGATGACGTGGTACTGCGGCGTGAAGATCACGTGCGGGGGCGGCCGCTGGCTCGGCGCCGCAGCCGCCTCAGGGGGCCCCGCGCCCGCCGAC